AAACAAGACGCTTGTCAGCGTGCACTCGGGGTTCTTTTTAGTGTAGTCTCTTGGTTTAATGATACATATAGAATATGTAGTTTCATTTATTCTTGCCGTGACCAAAAAATATAATAAATTCTCAGTCCAGTTGATAGCATAATAATTAAGACTTATATAATTTTGACTTGATAAATTTACCGCAATTATTGCAAAGAATAATAAATACTTTAATTATCAAATATAAAGTAAAACTAAAAATCCTTCCTTGGATTGAAAATAGTAAAAAAAGAAAATGTATTAATATTATTATTGTTGACCAAGAATTGTCCTTACTTTGACAGACATTTGGTCCCGGATTTGGTCTAACGCAAATACCATTCACTGATCCTTTGTTTGCAATCCTTCGTTATTTTACCTGTACAGTTTTGTTGACAATCGGCACTTGAGTCTATTGTTCTTTTATAGTAGTTAGAGCTTTGAATATCAGTAGCTTTTAAGATAGAAGGCCTGTAGTTTATGATTGGCTTTGGTCGGCTTTGGGTAGATTAAATGGGTTGCGTATCATAACTTAAGTCACAATAAGCTTGATTAATTCGCGGTATTTTTCAAAAAGCCCATTCCGAAAACGGTCGACATCCTTTAGTGTGGCTATACCGCGTGTGGATTTGTGAGTTATTTGAGCGTATTTTTTGAGAAGAAGAAATACCATAAGTCCATCGACGAAGAAGCTGATGCAATTAGCACTTGAAGCATGGGACGAGACAAGACAGGCTAGGAACGCCTGGCTAATCTGGCCGCGATTTGGCGATGAATGCAAAAAAAAAATAAAGCCGAAATTAATACTCGGCGTTCCACAGGAACCCCGAGTAAATAACAGCATGTTCTGTAACGTGTTATTTGGGATAAATACCACAAGCGATATTTCAAAATTGCCTGGACGTTCTTGTTGGACGTTCTTGAATACGCTTCGCTTCCCTCGTGAAATTTTTCGTTTGACAATTTTGAAATATCACGCGGGGTATTTTTAAAATCCCAATACCACTACAAAACATGCTATTACCTATATAAGTCGCTAATTTTTCTAGTAAACATACGGGCATTTAGAAATCCGGAACCAAAATTTTGGAAGACTCGGTGATTAACGTTACAGAAATGGCTTTTGAAGTATCTGGATACAGTTGTTTAGAACTCCGACCTGGGCGAAAGAAACGGGTAAAAAAGTAATTTAAGTTGGTCAAATCTTAATAATATTTACTACATTGAGTAAAGTTTGTAAAAATCGGATTTAATTTATGCGTTTTATGGGGAAATCCAGGAAAACGCTTTTACAGATATTTCAAACGAATGAAATATAAAAAAAATGGACGCCTGAAAACAACGCTTTTAGAGTGTGTAATCCCTTTCTTAACCGGTGGAATGCCAAATCATTAGAAGAAATATTGCCCATTTTGCGCCCGCGATAATTTGGCAGCGGTAGCTAACATTACAGAAACAAAATGGCTAAGAGAGCTTTCCTTCTCAGCTGTTAGATTTAATTTTCTCTCCACTCTTCCAATTCATCGACACTTCACTCCTTGCTTTCTCAGATTCGGTTCCATTACTTAGAGCCGATTTCGTATGAGTGGGACACCGTGACCGCACGGTTAACGCACAGTTACCGGACCTGGCCTGCACAATTTTGTGAGCCAATGGGGCACTAGAATTTGGTTACAGTACGATTACGGTTACAGTACTGTACCGTCCGTTTCCCACTCATACGAAATCCGCTCTATATATGAGACCGATGACAATCCTTAATAAACTTTCTCCATTCCCAAAGAGTTGACCAAGGAATCTCAATACAAAATAAAAACTCGTATCTTAGGGTTTAATTTTCAGAATTTTGATTGATATAAGTCAAAGGAAAGTGAGAATGTGTCTTATAAGCTTCCAATCAAATATTTTCTTACGGTATTAACTGAGAAGTTAAGACATTTTATTTATTTTTACAAACAAAATTTAGCTATTGGCGCTAAAATGTTGTGCTATACAATTCTGAAGACCCGGGGACAATAAAAGCATTCGCAGAGGGCATTGRGGACCTCACAGAAGGAAAACAATGGCGGCTCAAGTAGAAGTAAATATGAATTTAATTTGTATTTTTTGCTSTTGGACATACCCAACACAAGATATGGTTCTCAAATTTCGTGAATCCGTATAATTGCAATCTATTCATGCTTCGGGAACCTATTTAAAGGGATTTTTCTTTGAGTTTTTTGGAGCAGAGTTGACTAATGTTGACATTGATTTGGACGTCGATGTGCGACCCGAGTGTTTACCAACTATTTGAACTCTTTTTTTCGACTTCAATTCACAAAGGTAAGCAGCATTTGTAGAGAATGTAGGCAAATTAGGCAAATTTTGGTCGCTGAGTAATTACAAAAGTAAAAACGCTCACGAAACTCGAGATTAAATGCAAGTACTTTGATTTATCATGTAAATGAAATGCAATATATCCATGAAGAGTGATCGATGTGCGATTTGGAAAAACCTCTCAATGAAAATGATATTTTGGCGAAAATGTGTTATCTCCCATACATTTCTTTAGGAAATTTATCCGCCATTATAATTTGTACTTATTATGCTTGCGCGACGCTATTTTGGGCAATATTTCTGCTAATGGACAAATTCCGTCTATATATCTGTGAACAATATTTGTTACCTTTTTTCCTCTAAATCTTGAATATTCTTGTTGAGTTCACTGTAAAAAATAAAAGCCCAATCAAAACGTGATATTCCACAGTGATATTACATAAAGTTGGCTAAAGATGACTTAGTAACCAACAACTTATGGTATATTACAAATCGTGCGCTCTCATTGGCTGCTCAGCCATGGTCTATTGGGTAATAGCCCATGGTTGGAGAAAACAAAAATGGCGAAGCGCTCGTAAATTCAATTTTTAGTTGTTTTGGCAATAAAAATATTACTTTTTTTGACTAAAAAACGGTCAATATTTTTTTAGCATTTTTTAATGAGATTTCTGTATGATTATTCCATTTGATGTGATTTTATCGAGTAACGAGTGCTTTGTAAATTTGTTTTCTTTCTACTGAATTCGCAAAAAAATGAAAATATTTTGTTTCTCAAAATCTAGAAAACGTGCTGGATACTAAAACAATTAGACCTCTCGCCCTCATGGGCTACGTTCAATAGCCCACCTGACCTTCGTTCTCGTGGGCTATTGAACCGTAGCCCGTTCGGGCTTCGGGTCTAATTGTTAATTAGCAATTATCCGAAAAAAATATGTTAAAAAAATATTGATATTACCGCACTCCATATGCGATAACGAAAAACGAATACATCAAGTTGTATAACTTTGTTATATTAAGGATCAAATATGCTATTAGTCTGGAATAGAGGTGAAAAAATCACTCATAAACAAACGTGAAAGAGCAATTCTGGAAATTTACGGCCGGCTTATCTTCTTTGACAGGATGGTCACATAGCTTTTTGCTGTTTAATCGTTTCAGTTTTCTCTTTTTGCTCCTTGCAATACAACTTTGACACTTTTTGCTTTTGTTCTTCACTTGCTCGTTGTTGCTCGTTGATAGGAATGCAATGAGCTGCGGTGACCGTGTCCAGTACGTTCCATAAGCAGTTTTCTGGAACGCCTTTCTCAAAGCCAAGCGTGCAAGTCGTGGCTCTCAGAGAATGAAAGTCTTGTAGCCTATAACTCCTGCCCTTGTGCATAATTCACTGACCGTCTTCCTCAATGTATTCTTGCAAATTGGTGTTGAGTTGAAGACCACACCAGCATAATTCTTCTCGCCAAAAGATGTAATAATACTATAGTTTGCCTCTCTCGTTTGGACTGTTTCCATCAATTACTTTAAACTGATTGAACGTAAGGCTTCCATGCTCTTCGCCACTTCGCAGAGAGAAATACTTGCCAATGGAGTACTCGAGTGATGACGTCAAAAACGAGAGTTTTTAAGTGGATCATTTTTAATGCATCCTTGAGTAATATGAATGTTTTAGTGCCTATATTGTAGCGGAGATAAAAGCGATTTTATGGTCGGGCGACCACATACAAACGCTTGTAAATTTGGTTTCGTTCCTTTCGTTATGAACTCCGCTGTAAATGGCACTAGGACGCTGAAATTTGATAGATAGCTAGTTTTTTTCCATGCGCTTTAAGGTATTTCAACAAAAAACTGAAAACCTCACCGATGTAAAAGTCAAATGTATGAGAGATTTAAAAAAAATTGTTCTTTAGAGATTTTTAACGTGCATTTGATTGTTTTCACTGAATCTCGGTGTAATTAATAATATATTGTTATTCTGAAAACCTCACTGATGTAAAAATAAGGCAGTTATCGGCCTTCAGCTCGTGCGCCCTCGGTGAATATATCACATAACCCCTCTCTTCAGGCCAATAACCCTCTCAAATAAATAACAGTTTTTAAAGCAGATCTGCTTTAAAATGTGCACAACGTTTCGTATATTTGGAAACTCTATGCGGTTTTTGACGTTTGAGAATAATTACTTTATTACTTACGTTTTTAAATATTATTTTAGCACATGAAGACGAGTTGAAACAAAGACTTGAAATCTTTACCACGACGAGACGCTTCTCCGGACCAGCGTCCGTTGACGTAAGCGTAAATTATCGAACAGTAACTATAAATGTACAAATCAAAACTTAAAATGAACAATAAAAGAGAAGAAGGATACAAATTAACTAAAGATTCTCACCTCCCAATATCTACATATTCCATCCAGACAATCTTTTGAAAGTGAAAGACTGAAACCGAAGACAAACTGTATTTATTCTATAGCGTCACGCCATAGTGACAAGGCGTGTCCTTTTTGAAATATGAGCCTAACAGATAGAATACCCCTCCCTCCACTGGGAATACATGTTGATACAATGACTACAAAGCCAATAGAGCTTTTTTTTTGAATGATTTAAACTCTTGAAAAAAGAATATATTGCCCAGTTGCATGAATTTCAGTTATAAACGACAAAGATTTACAAGGAAATGATTGGTGATGTCTTACCTTACCATGAAGGGATGGGATGGGGCGTTTTGTCAAAGACAGGAAACTGATCACCAAAGTGAAATAACAACATCGTGTAAATAATTAATGCAGTGTATTAAATTGACGTTCAAATCAGTCGAATAAATCACAAAGAAAAATCTCTATCAAATTCAAACCTTTGATTAAAGGAACGAATCGGTGATTAAAGGGAATAGTTTCTCTAGTCAAAATCCGTATTAGATATGAAGCCCCGACTGAAGGGAGTTTTCCCTTTTACCAAGATATATAACCTTTCAAGTGACACTGTCATCATGTTACAAACTACTTAGATGCGTGAAACCTTGTCAACAAGGGAAAATATGTACTACAGATCTCACCGAACTGTGACAGGTCATTAAAAATTCATGTTGTCACCACGCCCACTTTCGATTTTTTCGTCGAAATTCGACTCCTAACGCAATGTGCCTTTGCATAGCTGTCAGCTAATAACTTAACACTGCAGAAATGCCTCATTTGCGCGCAAATATTCCTAATTGTGAGAATAAAAGTGTGAGATTTCAAATCAATTCTATTGTCTTTCTTTTCAAATTCCATGCGTTKTCTYGKGYTRTMAATGAAACAAAAGAATATGTTGCTTGGTTTTGAGGCTAACACAGAGCAAACAAGAAATCGAAATCGGAGTATTCCCGAACGGCTTTCTGAAACAAAAGCTTTTCAAACTGTCTTTGTTTGCTTTTCATGGCATTCCTAATGAGCCTAATTCATAAGTTTTATAAGTATGTTATCTTCCAAGGAATCGCATCAGAAACTCGGTGGTGTAATGGTATAAGACGRCGCATATAGATTGGACGGTTCGGGATCGTTTCGTGAGGGAGTCGTTTATCAAAGACCTTTTTTCACTAAATTAATTCTATATTAAGTTGATTATTTCTAATACTTTGATTATCATTAGCTAGTAGTAGTTAGAAAAAGCTAGAAGCTGAACTAGAATCAAGGTAAGAGTAACTGGAAATAAGATAGAATACAAGGTAGGAGTACTTCCTCTGGTATCCAGCTACTGCACGTGGTACAAATTACAATCAGGGATTGGCTAGATACCTCATGAATAATTAATGAGTATGAGAACTACTAAAGAATGTCGACGAGAACCACTACGTGGAACCTACCGTGCCCAGTTCGCGACCTTTAGTAAGTGAATAGTTGAAGGTCCTTAAATACTCTCATGTCGTATATATTGTTTGTTTATACGAGTGTAATATTTAATTTCGCTCGTCATTTTTGGTAAGATTAAACGTCCTGTTCTAGTTGTCCTGAGACATTTGAGAATAGCTGAGGTGACGTTTTTGACACCATTTTGTTTCGTTAGGCAAAGTCTCGCAAAATAACAAGGTACAGTGTGAAATCGATGTCAAATAAATCCAGTTGAATTCCTATTCTGAAAGAATCATTAATTTCAAACGTTAGATAGTACGAAAAGGAGTTAACTGAACAGTTCTGAAGGACGGCTTAGTTGACCGAGGGAGCGAGTAAAATCATTTTAAATTCTTTGTAATTTACGGGGTCGTCTTCGCTTGATGTGCGTGAAAAATATTCGAAAAGTATTCGCTATTGATTTCAATAGAAGATTCACTTAAATTATTCCTTCTAACTCTCCTTCCGACTCTCATTAGAAGGCTCACTCAAAAGTAATCGCTTTTGATTCTCGACAGAAGGTTCGATCAAAAGTGTTCGCTCTTGATTCTTGATCTAGATTCACTCTTAAGTTTCCGCTCAAAACTCTCTCAAAAGATCAACTCGGTATAAAGTTGTCGCTCAGAATCCAACCTCTCGTAAAGTTTGTTTGATTTTAATTCTTCGAATAGCAAAAATGTCCAGTAGTCTCATTCCCTTGTAGTTTTATCAGTGCGGGAGCGGATTTTTGATCCCACGTCTATTAAACTCATTGGGAAATCGCCGAGCGATCAGGTAAGATTTAACGTGGAAAAAAAGTTGTGCTTGCATTCTAGAACCTTGCACTCCAAATAGCAAAAATGTTCAGTAGTCTTATTTCCTTGAACGACCGCCATCATACCATGCAGTTTTATCAGTGGTAGCAAAGTTGTCCCAGTTGGTGTAAAGTCGTGAGGAAATCGCCGGGCGCTAGTTTAAAAAAACCTTACGTGGATTAAAAAAGTGCTTGCATTTTAAGACCGTGTCGGCCGAAGAGGGCTGCGCACGGTAAAAATAAGTGTCATTAAGAAGCACAGCTCCTCGAAAAGAATCAACCTTGAAATAGTTGATTATTCAAATGAATATACTGTCCTCTCATGCAGTTTTCTAACAAGCGTCTAACTGAACTCTACTAGCTAAAATCCATCGTCTAACTGAACTCTACTAGCTAAAATCCATCGTCTAACTGAACTCTACTAGCTAAAATTTATCAAGAATCCTAATACAACTGGTCTTATTCAAATTTTGAATATTCTAACTAATTTACTATTTAAGGGCTGATTCAAAGCCTAAGCTGAGATACAAAGGATGGAGGCGCTGTATTTAATATTGGGTTTCTTCCATGGATAATTTAGTTTCTGAATAAATTGTTTCAATTGTACATGTTTCAATTTATACAATAGTACGAAGGATTAACGTCCGAAACGTCAGTAAGTTATTTCACCTACTTTTTAACGGTGTTAAATTTATCTTTTTACATAACTTTTTCTTTAGAAACACCAACGCATCTCACACTAGTTTACCGCCAGTTCCCACTACCTCAATGGTACAAAGACAGATCGACATGGAAGTTTTTTTCTGCGTAGGTGGATGCCAATCTAATTGCACTCCAAAGTCTTAATTGCCTCACTGTTTTTTAATTATCACGAAGATTGATTGTACCCTTAACTTTAATTTCCTAGTGAATAGCTTAAGCGAAAGAAATGAAGTTGCCATGACAGCAAGAGCTTTGTATTTTCTTTCTTTAAAAGAGATCGTGTAAAAATTGACTTAAAAAGATGACACCATTTAAGTGTCAAMCTATTCATGTCCTTAGACATTTTTAGAGGAATTTCTTGTCTATTTTGATCTTTCGCACTCTTACAATAAGACCGTTATCATGGTCTTTAACGCTTYTATTATTATTATTGTTGTTATAATCTTAAAGGATTTCTTTGGCGGGACTATTTGCCTTTATCGAAATTTTGTTGATTCGCTGATGCTTTTAAAAACGATATATATCTATGTATTAAAGAAATTATAATAAGAAAAATGTTTTTTTGTGTGTGTTGAAAAAAAAAGAACACCGAAACTGATAATTCTATTGTAGCTGCACCTTTTAAATAACTGATAAAACACAAAAGGTTTCTCCAATCAGGGACGTCCCTGCTCCAATCAAAAAAATGGACCCCAATGCCTTTCCAATTTTCAAAGCCATATATGATTTGAATGCTCGATGTATCCTAAATTTGGGAAAGATATAAAGAGCAATTTAAAAATAAACGACATGACAAAGGCGCCCGCCCTCCAACTTTGAAGTGTTTCTAACAAAAACCCCTTGTGGTGCAAGCTATGGGTTAAAATCATATTGTTATAAAAAAAAGGTTTTGGTAATAAAAACGCTTTATAGTCATAATAACATGGCCAATGTCACAATATATGGAACGTTGTGAGAAAAAGACATGTGCATGTTTTCATTCTGAAAAAAAAAGCTTTCCATTATGTACTGTTATCAACTGTGTGAAATAATTGGTTTTGGCTTTTTTGTTTTCACTTCTAGTTGAAGTAGCCGTTCTGATCCCAAATCAACCTTATCGCTGCTTTTTGTATGTTTTATGCCTTGTCTTTGTTTATGTTTTGCTCAGTTTAAGTTTAGTTCTTGAATGTAAGTTTTGTATAGCAAAGGGAAATAGTTTAATCGTTGGGATCTATGCATGTACAAAAAGAAAAGAAGAAGAAAAAACGACATGTGTATGAATTCAGTTATAGCGCCTTAACACTTAAATCCCTTATTTTTTGATAGTATAATGTTATCACAAAGTTATGAGCATTCCAGATACTAATTAATATTTAAGCTGATCGCTTAAAACATATTACTAGACACCAGTTCAAAAATTATGAGTATTTTATATTTATATATAACATTTAATAATTTATGTTAGTGTTATGGGATAGCTTCCAAAACGTTTCTCAATAATAATAACTCAGGCATTCATGAAAATATGTTTAAACATCAATGCCGTGTTGCTGTTTTTGTCAGTTATTTGAAGAAGTTATAATTGTCTCGAAATTTTCCGGAAACGGAGTGTAGATGTAACTATTAGATATATTATTACATAATGATAGATTGAAACTAGCTTTTTACTATTATTTTCTAGAATATTTTTGTCGTAAAAAAACACAACAAATTTATGATTTGTTGTGGTCCTCTTATTTCCCACGGTTGGAGCCATCTTATCGTCAAAATTGTCGTTTACCGACTCGACTTCGTCTGTCACTCGACTTCGTCTCATAAATTTGTTAAATATGAGGAAATTAATTGAGCATTAAGTCTTCAAACGAAGCTACTCTGTTCACTTAAATGTAACAATTTTCGTCTTAAGTAATTTACATTTTAAGTGGATAATTACTTTTGAAATCCTTAAATACAAATCATTGATAATATATCTCTACGAGAAAGGTTTGCCAGATTAGTTTACAAGCTGTGTTTTTTCTTTATTTGTTCTTTTCGCGATGCGTTTTTTCGGCATAAGTTTAAAATATCTTTTTTATTAAAAACTCTCTCCATGCCTACAGAAAGTACGTCGCA